TCCATGCACCCTCTCATGAGATGTTCATGGGGCCACCGGGCACTGCTCGATTGGTCAGTCTGCCCCACACAGATCCCCTGTGACAGGGCAGTAGCAGTGAGCAAGATTTGGGAGGTACCAGCGGGTGGGCGCCAGGCAGTAACAGCGAGTGAGCCCAAGGGAGTGACAGGGTCGGGCCCTGGAGAGTGACAGCGGGCGGGCCAGAGAGTGACATTTGGGCAGACAGTGACAGGAGCAGGTATGCCGGCAGTGACACTTGCGCTTCCGTGCCTCAGACTTGTTTCATCCATAGGTGCAGTGTAGTCACTGCAGTGCCTCCCCCCACTCTTGGGGCCCATGTGCAATTAACCCATGGATGTTACGCCACTGACCTGGAGGCAATCTGTACACAGAGTGTGTACAGGACACCCCCTGAAAATGTAATTTCCTGCTTGTGTAATTGGCTCACTGATTTTCCCACAAGTCTGCACAAGATACAAGTCAGATTTTTTACATCCCCTGCAACAAAAATATCATTTTTTGTGAGATACTCCCAAAGGGAAGTCACGTCTAAAGGGATTCAGACATTGACAATTTTCTTATTAGAGCACTGCAGGTGCAGCAGCTGATTGATAATCATAAAACCACTCCCATACAGATTCACTCTACACATGGACACAGACAAACAAAGCTATTTCTTCAGAATGACAAAAAGGTAGAATTCTGCAACAAAGTTTGTTAAAATCTTTGCAATGTTCATAGACCACCCCGAGGAGAATATTTTTTTTCTCAACAGCAGTGAAGTTACTCTTTAAAGCTGAATGAACACTTTCTGCTTCTAAAAGCTATCTGGTTAAACCTGAACCCTGGCAGTGGAGAAACCATAACTATACTTCAGAATAAATGGAAAATTGCAAAAAAACACTAATATGTTGTCCTGGCAGCAGGGGTATTAGTATATAACTATATTAACCATTAGCCGCCCGGCCAATAGCCGTTTGGCGGCCGGAAAAATGCTTTAGATTTCCGGGTGGACGCCATATGGCGTACTCCCGGGCATGCGCAGCTTGTGCACTTGCAGAGCCACGCAGCGGCGCAATCTGTCACCGGCCGTGTACCTCGGACACGTCCGATGACAGATCTGAGTACCGGCCCCCGTTGCTGGTACCATGTGACCTGCTGTGACCAATCACAGCCGGTCACATGACAGTTGTATACAATGGATGGCTTCATTCATGCCATCCATGGTATACTAGTGTCTAGCTGTGAATGGTCACAGCGATCACATGCACATGTCATGTGATTAGCTGTGGCCAAATCACAGCTAAGCACAAAAAAAACAAAAACAAAAAAAAAACCCTGAATGAATCGATGTCATTCAGGTAAATGCTTGCTTATAGCAAAGAAATTCTTTGCTATAAGCAAATTGTGTAAAAAAAATTAAATAAAAAAAATACTGATCACTTCCCCAAAGTAGTACAATGCTATTATGATAACATTGTACTACCTTGGTCATAAAGAAATATGAAAAAAAAGTCTTAAAAAATGAAGAAAATGTAATAAAAATGTAAAAATAATAAAAAAATAAACAAAAATTAAAAAAATATATATATATTTGTTTTTCATACTGTCACCAGTCAGTGTCCCTGATCACGGCCATGCCAGTTATATGATGATGGTGACAGTATGTAAAAAAAAATAGTGAAAATAATTGTTTTCATTTTTTCATTTTCCAAAAAATTATGACAAAAAAAATACTTCAAGAAACTCGCCATTCCTCTTATGAAGTACGTCGGACTGTCTACTTTGCAAAAAGGGGTCATTTGGGGATATCTGTACTGTTCTGACATTCTTGGACCTCAAGATATTAGATTGGCTGTCAGTACTTCAGGATTGATCAATATTCAGATCTATACCATAGTTTGTGAACTCTATAACTTTCCTACAAACTAAAAAATACATCCTAATTTGGGTTATTTTCACCAAAGACATGTAGCAGAATACATCTCGGCCTAAATTTATGAAGAACAATTATTTATTTGCAAACTTTTATATCAGAAACAAAGAAAAACGTGGGGGTTTTTTTCAAAAATTTTCAGTCTTTTTTTGTTAATTTAGCAAAAATAAAAACCCCAGTGGTGATTAAATACCACCAAAAGAAAGCTCTAGTTGTGTGAAGAAACTTACAGTCAGGTCCATAAATATTGGGACATCAACACAATTCTAACATTTTTGGCTCTATACACCACCACAATGGATTTGAAATTAAACAAACAAAATGTGCTTTAACTGCAGACTGTCAGCTTTAATTTGAGGGTATTTACATCCATATCAGGTGAACGGTGTAGGAATCACAACAGTTTGCATATGTGTCTCCCACTTGTTAAGGGACCAAAAGTAATGGGACAATTGGCTTCTCAGCTGTTCCATGGCCAGCTGTGTGTTATTCCCTCATTATCCCAATTACAATGAGCAGATAAAAGGTCCAGAGTTCATTTCAAGTGTGCTATTTGCATTTGGAATCTGTTGCTGTCAACTCTCAAGATGAGATCCAAAGAGCTGTCACTATCAGTGAAGCAAGCCATCATTAGGCTGAAAAAAACAAAACAAAGCCATCAGAGAGATAGCAAAAACATTAGGCGTGGCCAAAACAACTGTTTGGAACATTCTTAAAAAGAAGGAACACAATGGTGAGCTCAGCAACACCAAAAGACCCGGAAGACCACTGAAAACAACTGTGGTGGATGACCGAAGAATTCTTTCCCTGGTGAAGAAAACACCCTTCACAACAGTTGGCCAGATCAAGAACACTCTCCAGGAGGTAGGTGTATGTGTGTCAAAGTCAACAATCAAGAGAAGACTTCACCAGAGTGAATACAGAGGGTTCACCACAAGATGTAAACCATTGGTGAGCCTCAAAAAACAGGAAGGCCAGATTAGAGTTTGCCAAACCACATCTAAAAAAGCCTTCACAGAACAACATCCTATGGACAGATGAGACCAAGATCAACTTGTACCAGAGTGATGGGAAGAGAAGAGTATGGAGAAGGAAAGGAACTGCTCATGATCCTAAGCATACCACCTCATCAGTGAAGCATGGTGGTGGTAGTGTCATGGCGTGGGCATGTATGGCTGCCAATGGAACTGGTTCTCTTGTATTTATTGATGATGTGACTGCTGACAAAAGCAGCAGGATGAATTCTGAAGTGTTTCGGGCAATATTATCTGCTCATATTCAGCCAAATGCTTCAGAACTCACTGGACGCCGTTTCACAGTGCAGATGGACAATGACCCAAAGCATACTGCAAAAGCAACCAAAGCGTTTTTTAAGGGAAAGAAGTGGAATGTTATGCAATGGCCAAGTCAATCACCTGACCTGAATCCGATTGAGCATGCATTTCACTTGCTGAAGACAAAACTGAAGGGAAAATGCTCCAAGAACAAGCAGGAACTGAAGACAGTTACAGCAGAGGCCTGGCAGAGCATCACCAGGGATGAAACCCAGCGTCTGGTGATGTCTATGCGTTCCAGACTTCAGGCTGTAATTGACTGGAAAGGATTTGCAACCAAGTATTAAAAAGTGAAAGTTTGATTTATGATTATTATTCTGTCCCATTACTTTTGGTCCCTTAACAAGTGGGAGGCACATATGCAAACTGTTGTAATTCCTACACCGTTCACCTGATTTGGCTGTAGATACCCTCAAATTAAAGCTGACAGTCTGCAGTTAAAGCTCATCTTGTTTGTGTCATTTCAAATCCATTGTGGTGGTGTATAGAGCCAAAAATGTTAGAATTGTGTTGATGTCCCAATATTTATGGACCTGACTGTATAAAATTTTAGCTTGGGTACAATGTTGTATGACCGCGCAATTGTCATTCAAAGTGTGAGAGCGCTGAAACCTGAAAAATGGCCTAGGCAGGAAGGGGGTAAAAGTGCCCGGTATGGAAGTGGTTAATGACAGAACCATATACAGTCTCTACTAGGCAGAAATTTGTGGACTGCTACACCTGCATTCTTTATTCTAAAAAGGTTGTTTGCATGACAACCAGACAAATAAAACTTCCAGAAGAAGTCAGCAGTAGCAGCCTACACATGTCTCCCAAAACAGGTTTTTTTTTAGTCCAACGTTAAACTTTTTTCCTTTTTTATTCATATTGGATATAGTAAGAACGGACTGGAATCAGGTTTAATTGCAATTTCTGACACTACTGGTGGGTATCCTCTCATGCTTTATTCCTGTGCTACCAGGACAAGTTGGGAAGGGTAATGACTTCAGGAAGGTGCAGACAGCAATATCTCACAGTGGTTCTAACAATTTCCATAAATATTTTGTTGTTACCTATATCCCCTCTGAAGACAAGTCAGATCACTGTACCTGACAGATCCTGCTCCTTTCATACCCGATCTTGAGACAGGCTGAATTTGGACTTTAATGTGCCCAGATTATGCACACTAAAGTAGTTACAAATTTTAAACAAGCATTAAATGCACTTATAAAACAAGCCCCTTAAAGATTAAGTGCTGGTTTTGCCTAAGGTTCTAGCCACTCTTATTCACCTTATCCCTTGCTCCTACAGGTTCTTCTTTCCATATGACTGGTCTCCTCTTTGACACTTCATCTGATGGTCACAGTTTTGTGACCAACAGTCCTACATCGTAAATGAGGACACCAAGGGCCTGAAAAATCAGGTGAACTTCTGCATAGAAACCAATCAGCTTCCAGGTTTTATTTGCCAAAGTTTAATTGAAGAAGCTGAGGTTAGAAGCTGATTGGCTACCATGCACAGGTGCACCAGATTCTGAGTGAACAAGTTTTAGCAAATCTTCCAGACTGTGTTTTTTTAAACTACCAGCAGAAAAAAAAACTAACTGGGATTTTGTTGGGATCTCTGACAATAACTTCACTTTAAAATAACTAGAATAACTAGAGAGGTGTTAAGAATATATAAATTGTTTCGTGTCAATAGTCTGGACACAAGTGTACTTTAAGTACTGTCCTTAGCTTAGCCACACTTACCTGTCAGCACTAACGAGGACTATTTCGAATTTTTGACCCAACTCTTTGATTTTTCTATACGATTCCACTAATACTCTTGTCAAACTTCGACAAGGAGGACACTGTAATTTAGAAATGGTACACTTAGAAAATTCTCATACATAATTAACTTGCAGTAAGCACACTATACAAGCTAAAGTTCTTCAAAGCAATATTTACACATACAAGGCTTAAGAAGTAGCAAGGAAAGCCTATAAAGTTTATGAAGGTTAGTTTAGAAGGGTGGCCCATTCTCAAATTTTGGATTCAACTGAAACATTACATACTGTATAGGTAAGCAGAGAGTATTTATATTTGTCAATCACATGGCTTTACCATTTGATGTTTTCTCCCTTGCTAACATTTCTTTGGAGAGCATGCAAAAGACACATGCAGCAGAACAAAAGTTAATGTTGCTTACTTTCACATTGTACTGTTTATTGCAAAGTCCAACTTCAAGTTAAGCTGCTCCATATTCTGTGCCAAATACAGTAAACTATTTTTGTACCAACCAGCCGGGAGAGCCCCTACTTTTATGTACTTCTCTTTGCTATGTCATAAAAGCAATTATTTAATTTGCCAATAAAGGTAATAACCTGCAGCACCAAACAATCAAGAGTGCAACAAATCACAAAGTACAATTAGTCACATACAGTGGGTATAGAAAATAATCACCCAGCTGTATTTACATCCCAGTGAAAGATATAACACCAACATGTCATGAAAAAAAACATTCAAAAACAGAATCGCCGAGTTGGAAACAGGATCACCCCCCCCTCCTAAAAATGACTGGTAAACTCAATCAGGTGTAGCTAATCACTTTCTCAATGGCACACAAAGCCATTTGACTTTCAATTGTGATCAGCTGTGGTCACTTTGATTAGCTTAGCATGAAGAGCTTTCCTGGAGCATTTAAGTCCCTGTAGTGCAACTGAAGTAAACAGTGAACTATCGGTGGCAAGGCACTGTCAAATGATCTCTGGGATAACGTTGTGGACAGGCACAAGTCAGGAGATGGATACAAAACATTTCAAAGGCTTTATTAATGCCTACAAGCACAGTGAAGTCTATTAAGAAGTGGAAGGTAACTGGTACAACACAGACTCTCCCTGGATTAGGCCAGGAGGAACTTGGTCAGAGGCTACCAAGAGGCCTACAGCAACTCTGAAGCAGTTGCAGAAATTTATGACAAAGAGTGGTCTTTGTGTGCATGTGACCACAATATCACAAATTCTCCTCAAATGTGGTTGTATGGGAGGACTGCAAGAAAAAAGCCACTCCTTTAACCACTTGCCAACTGCAGATAGTGGAATGACAGCTACACTGTGGTTGGCCAGTTCTGGGAAGACGTCATACGACGTCCTCCCAGAACGCGCGCCCTCCCGTGCGCCCCGGGGGCCGCGCACACCGCCGATCTCCATGATCGCTGTGACCTACGGACACAGCTGATCACGTGATGTGGTAAAAGGCCGATCACGTGATGTGGTAAAAGGCCAATCACAGCGAAAATGCAGTTGCCGCTTATCGGCTGCACTTTCCTCCCGCTGTCAAAGCATGAGGAAAATACTGCCAATAACCAGCAATTGTCAGAGGAAGGATCGCCTCTGATCAGGGCACTGATGATCAGTGCCCAGCTGTGCCACCCACCAGTGCTGACCATCTGTGCCCAGCAGTGCTGCCCACAAGTGTCCAGCAGTGCTGCCCAACAGTGCCTAGTAGTGCCGCCCACCTGTGACCAGCAGTGCCACCTATCAGTGCAGCCCATCAGTGCCCAGCAGTGCCACCAGTCAGTGCCTAGCAGTGCCGCCAGTCAGTGCCTAGCAGTGCCACCTGTCAGTGCCGTCAGTCAGTGCCGCCTACCAGTGCCCAACATTGTTGCATATCAGTGCCAGCTCATCAGTGCCGCCTATCAGTACCACCTCATCAGTGCTGCCTATCAGTGCAGCCTCATCAACGCACATCAGTGAAGGAGAAAAATTACCTGTTTGCAAAATTGTATAATAGAAACAAAGAAAACTTTTTTTTTTTCAAAATGTTTGCTATTTTTTTGTTTATAGCGCAAAAAAATAAAACACCCAGCGGTGAGTACATACCACCAAAAGAAAGCTCTATTTGTGTGAAAAAAATGATAAAAATTTCATCTGGGTACAGTCTTTCATGACCGCGCAATTGTCAATCAAAGTGCGATAGCGCTGAAAGCTGAAAATTGGCCTGGGCAGGAAGAGGGTATAAGTGCCCGGTAGGCAAGTGGTTAAGAAAGGCCACATGCAGTCACCACTGAGCTTTTCCAAAACTCACCTTGATGACTCTGAGGCCACATGGAAAAAGGTGTTATGGCAGATGAGACTAATATTGTGTTTTTTGGCCTCAACACTAAAATTATGTCTGGCGGAAGTCCAATACAGCTCACCAGCCAAACACCACCATTACTACAGTAAAGAATGAAGTGGTAATATCCTGTTATGGGGGTGTTTCTCTGCAGCAAGGATTGGAGCAATTGTCAGGATAGAAGGAAAAAAGGATGGGGCTGAATACCATCAATTCTTGTGGAAAATCTGCTACCCTCTGCCAGAAAATGGTCAATGGTAAGGTGGTTTACTTTCCAACATGTCAATGACCCAAAGCATACAGCAAAAATGACCACACAGTGGTTGAAAGAGAAAAAGGTGGATGTCATTGTCAGAGCCCAGACTTAAATCATATCAAAAATCTGTGGAATTACTTAAAAACTGCAGTCCACAAATGGTCACCATCAAATTTTACTGAACTTGAGCAGTTCTGAAAAGAAGAGTGGGCAAATATTGCAATGTCTAGATGTGCAAAGTTAGTAGAGACATTACCCAACAGACTAAAGGCTGGAATTAAATCAAAAATTGGTTCAACAAAACACTGAAACGAGTGATCCTTTTTGCAACTCTATGATTCTGTTATTGAATTTTTTTATTTTTTTTCTGACATATTGGTGCTTGGATGTTATAAGTTGCACTGAGTAAATACAGCTGGATAAACAAAAACTGTATCTTCATTTCAGGCTGCAAAGCAACATAATGTGATTATTTTAAAGGGACACACACAATGTTTTTAAGAATTTTTCCATATCTTCACAGACACTCACCCAATGTGCAGAGAAATAAACACCAACATAAGACCCTTCCAACGTACTACTGTCTTGGCTCTGACCATTGTTTCTGAGCAAAAGTCCAGCAATTACTTCACTGAAAGGCTTTGGCCCCCAAGGGAATTCCAGACCTGGAAAGATTGATAACCAGAAATGAATTAAAATGTATCTGTACTTCTTCCTTGTTTAGTCCAGCAGTATACATTTTCTGTAAGCCACAGAGCTTTAATCACTTTGCCTCTCACACCTGTTCACCCCTTACAGACCAGAACAATTTTTGCATTTCTGATATGGATCTGTTTATTCGGCGATAACTTTGCCATTACTTAAGATAACAATGTAATACATACACTATATTGCCAAAAGTATTGGGACAACCAATTAGAGAGCTAATTTTCCAAGGCTTAGATATTAAATGGGTCACTCTCAGAAGCTCAGTGAATTGAAGAATGGTACCGTGATGGGTTGCCACCTGAGCAATAAGTCCATTAAGTCCAATAAGTCAATTTCACGGTCAGCTGTTTGTGGTATTATAACAACGTGGAAGCAACTGGGAACAATTGCAACTCAGCCACGAATGGGGTCAGCGCATGCTGAACTGCACAGTGCACAGAAGTCGCCAACTGTCTGCAGAGTCAATAGCTAAAGACCTCCAAACTTTGTGTGGCCTTCAGATTAGCACAACAGTGCGTTGAGAGCTTCATGGAATGGGTTTCCATGGCTGAGCAGCTGCATGCAAGCCTTATATCACCAAGTGCAATGCACAGCGCCGGATGCAGTGGTGTGAAGCATGATGCCACTGGACTCTACAGCAGCGGAGACTTGTTCTTTGGAATGATGAATAACGCTTCTCTGTCTGGCAATCAGATGGAGATTTCTGGGTTTGGTGGTTGGTACTTGCCTGACTGAATTGTACCAAGTGTAAAGTTTGGTGCAGGGAGGATTATGGTGTGAGGTTGTTTTTCAGGGGTTGGGCTTGGCCCCTTAGTTCCAGTTAATGGAACAATTAAGGCTTCCGCATACAAAGACATTTTGGACAATTTCATGCTCCCAAGTTTCTGGGAACAGTTTGGGGATGGCCCCTTCCTCTTACAACATGACTGCACGCAAGTGCACAAAGTAACATCCATAAAGATATGGATGAGCAGGTTAGGGGTGGAGGAACTTGTCTGGCCTGCACCTCAACCCGATATAGAACACCTTTAGGATGAATTAGAGCGGAGACTGCGAGCCAGGCCTTCTCATCTGACATTAGTGATTTACCTCACAAATACGCTTCTGGAAGAATGGTCAAACATTCCCATAGACACACTCCTAAACCTTGTGGAAGCTGTTATAGCTGCAAAGGGTGGGCCAACTCGATATTGAACCCTATGGACTAAGACTGGGATGCCATTAAAGTTCATGAGCGTGTAAAGGCAGGCATCACAATACTTTTGGCAATATAGTGTATATTGTTTTTTAAGTACAAACAAGGCTTTCTTATCGGTAATTTTGTTTAGCAACAATAATCTTTTTTTCCGCAATCCTTAGACAATTAAATGAAACAAAACTAAGCAAAACACACTTTTCTTTTTTTTGAGCAGTGTTAGTAAAAAAAATAGAGTTACTGCACATAAAAAGTGCACATTTTATTCTGTAATGTGTCCTGTTTAAAACAACACTAATATTATGTTTCTGGTACAAAGAATTGCAAAATTATTTACAAATGAAGTAAAGTGGGTTTTTTTTCAATTTTGTGCTTTTTTTTTTCAATGTGATACGTGTAAATATATGTTAAAGGTGTAAAAATATTAACAAAGCAAAAAAAAAAGTTTAAATACTATTATTTAATAAAATAGAAAAAAAAAGGAAAATTATAATTGAATGGAGAAGGAAAATAAGATGTTAATTAGAGCTGATTAAACTAAGGGTTAATAAGGGGGTTAAACAATGGAACATTTAATTAAAAGACTACTTTGTTGTTTTTTTTTTACTTGTTGGGTTTCTTTAGCTGACTTTATCCACAGACTGAAGTTCATCCCTTTGGTCTGCAGATAAACAGAATGATACAAAATTAAACAAGGTTTCTTTGTATCTTTCTGTATTAGTAGCTGAGCAATGCTGTTGATAAACATTGTCAGTAGGGCTGAAACAACCAATCAACATAATCGATTAAGAAAATAGTTGTCAACTATTTTCATAATTGATTAGTTGTTCAGCCGATTAGTTGATCTGCATAAAGAATGCATTATTTGTTTACATATCAGAAAAATACAGTGCAGTACATCTACAGCTCAGTACACCATTCATACATGTCAGTATATTCAGTGCAGCACACATACAGACCAGTATACCATCCATATATGTCACTAAGTACCTGAGAACTTGTGAGGAGCAATGCCTTATGGGACATGTAGTTCTGGACAAGAGAAGGAAGTGATAAAGGCAGAAGTTATTTTTTACCTTGCTGTAAGAGCAAACTATACTATACTTTGCAGCTTGCTATGGGGACACCCTGAAGGCTGGAGGAACCTGAAGCGCTGCTGGGGGGCCCCCAGAAGAGGAGAATCGGGGCTGCTCTGTGCAAAAGCATTACACAGAGCAGGAAAGCATGGCAAGTTTGGTAAAAAAAAAAGCCAACGTTTACAATCACTTTAAGGGCTCCGTGCACGGAAGATCAGCATCTGAACCCAGAGAAGCTGGAGGCCAATAGACTCTATAATATAAGGCCTTACAATTAAATTTAAAGTAAAAGTTTACCAGTATTGTGCATTATATTTAAAATGATTATATCCATGCAAAAAAAAGTCTCAATTTTCAGTACTACTTTTCCATAAAAGATTTATATCCCCATTCCATCCATCATATACACGGTATACACAATTATTAGGCAACTTGTATTCTTGAGGATTAATTTGTTTATTGAACAACTACAATGCTCTTGGTCAATCCAAAATGTTAATAAACCTCAAACCAGAATATTTAGGAAAGTAAAAGTGAGGTTTTGGCTTTCGTAGGAGAATATCTATGTGTGCACAATTATTTGGCAACTATTAGTGTGCAGAATTATGCAGCTAAAATGAAAAACGAACATTTTCCCATCTCACTTATTTATTTTCATCTGTCAAAGTGAGAAAAATACACAAACAACTCAAAATTTACAAATAAACATTAAAAAAAAATAAATCAGTAACCATTATCCACTTTTCTTTTTAATAACAGTCATAAGCCTTTCTTGTCAGTTTCTTGATCTGCTGACGATCAACTTTTTGTACAGCAGCAACCAAGTGAGGTGTACTGTTTTCCTTTACCATAAATCTCCTGTTTATCCGCTATATATACATGTGATTTTTCATTTCCGGGCAGGGGGGCACACGCAAGCGCCCTACATGCGCCTTCGCTCACGGCTGTAAATCACCGGGCCCTGGCTGGTAATTACTCACCTGCGCCCAGTGATTTCCAAGGATCTCCGACTCGGAGGACGACTGTTTTGTTTACTAACAGTCCTCCTCCCTGTCAATTCGGGCACACTGCTGTGGATGCCTGTGCATAGCACAGCCATCCACAGCAGTGTGATTACAGTGAATCCCGCCCATTAAAGCACTCCCTGCACACAACCCTTTGATTGCCCCTCATGTTAATCACTGTATTGGTGTCACTGGGGATGTCCGTAACACCAAGTCAGTTCCCCCCCCCCCCCCCCCCCCCCCCCCCCCCCCCCCCCCCCCCCCGTGTCAGAATGTCTGCCGCAGTCCCAATATAAGTTGCTTATTACCACCATTACTAGTAAATATTAGAAAAAAAAAAAATCCCAGTATATATACCGCCATTTGTAAATACTATAACTAGCAAGCAAACCAATTAATTTACACGTATTGGGTTTTTTTTTTTTTTAGCAAAGACATGTAGCAGAATACATTTTGACAAATTTATGACACAATTTTATTTTTTAAATTTTTATACTGGACACATCTAATAGCAAAAAGTAAAAAATACAGTTTTTTCACTCTAAATTGTCAGTCTTTTTTTTTTTTATGGCGCCCAAAAGAAAAACCACACAGGTGATCAAATACCACTGAAAGAAAGCTCAATTTGTGGGAAAAAAGTACATAAATTTCATTTGGGTGCAGTGTCGCATGACCACGCAATTGTCAGTTAAAGTACTGCAGCACCGTAACGCAAAAAATGGCGTGGTCAGGAAGGGGAGTAAATCCTCAAGAGGGCAAGTGGTTAAGAAGAGTCCACAAGTTCTCAACAGGGTTTAGGTCAGATGAGGAAGGGGGCCATGCCATTATTCTTTAATCTTTAAGGCCGTTACTGGCTAACCAGTGGAGTACTTCAATGCATGTGATGGAGCATTGTCCTGAATAAATATCATGGTCTTCGTGAAAGATGCAGACTTTTTCTTGTACCACTGATTGAAGAAAGTGTTTTCTAAAAACTGGCAGTAGGTTTGGGAGTTGATTTGAGTCCATCTTCAACCCGTAAAGGTCCAGCTAGCTTCTCTGTAGTAATACCAGCCTATACCAGTACCCCAACTCCACCTTGCTGGTGTCTGAGTTGAAGTGGAGCTCTGTGCCCATTACTAATCCAGCCACGGGTCTATCCATCTGTTCCATCAAGAGTCACTCTTCTCATCAGTCCATAAAACCTTTGAAAAATCTGTCTTCAGATATTTCTTAGCCCAGTCTTGATGTTTCAGCTTCCCTTACCTTAGCCATGTCTCTGAGCACTGAACACCTTCTACTTCTGGGCACTCCAGGTAGGTTGCAGTTCTGGAATATGACAGCACTGGAGGATAATGGGTTCCTGGTAGCTTCATATTTCTTTTCAAATCTTTGGCAGTTAATTTGCATCTTTTTTTCTCAACACATTTCTTGTGACCCTGTTGACTATTTGCAACAAAACATTTGATGGTTCTGTGAATACACCCCAATATCTTACCAATTTCAAGAGTGCAAACCTCTGAAAGACTTTACAATGTATAACTTTTCAGAGTCAGTTAAATCTTTTTTGGCCCATTTTGCTTGAGGGAAAGAAGCTACCTAATAATTATGCACACCTTGATATAGGGTGTTGACTTCCTTAGGCCACTCCCTCTTTCATTACACAAATACACATCACCTGATATGACTAAATCCAATAAGCA